TATTTTTATTTTTGGAGGGTCTACCCTACAATGAATGAGTGGTATTTTGGAATGAAGCACCCCGTCTCCAGCGCCCGTGCGGTAGGCAACCCATTGGACGCCGGTGTGTATACGGACCCGTCGGGGACTCGGTGGTGCCGTTGAAGCCGGCCGTGGAGTTCTGGAGGCCGGTGCTGCGCGGAGGCCCGGGGCGCAGCGTGAAGCACACCAGGGAGATGAGGAAGTACAGCACGAACTGGAAGAACTGGCGGTAGAACCTGCGGCAGAAGGGCGGGCGTCAGCGCTCGGCGAGATAGGGAATGCCACGCGCACCAGCACACCACACGGACCTGTTCTTGACGAACGCGTTCCACTTGGCGTGAAGGAGGTCGACCAATACCCCTTCCATCAGTTCCAAATGTTCGTTCGAGTCCTTGAGGAACGAAAAGCGGGATGGAAGAGTTAGGAATAGACCCATTTGGACAACCCTTCTTACAAAGAGGAAAGCGACCCGACAGCTCACCCCGAAGACGACCAAGTTGAGTGCCGAGTCCTTGCTGATGTTGCCCGTCTGGATGTCGATGGTGTCGATCTGCGACAACGGGTACGCCGCACACGTCACACTCCCTGCGCGCGCCAGAAACAGAACAAGTGAGGACTCGACCGAAAATCTCAATCACGCTATTGCACAGTGCATGCCGCCGCTCTCACCGATCTGCCAGTAAATCTCCCGTTCGATGTTGAGAATATGGAAGAACATGTCGCGGCGGGCGAGCTTGGCGGCCAGCGTCAGGGGGGTCAGGTTGAGCACGTTGCGCACCGCCAGCGACGACCCGAGCTCGTACGCAGCATCAAACATCTGCTGGAATGGGAAAAACTTGGTTCGGATTTCTGCTGTAGGGGATGACTGCGAATGCTGTCGTGAGAGGCCCAGCACTCCATAAACAATCGTAGTACACTCTTTAAAAAATCGAAAAAATGAAGGAAAAATCCAGGAGAAATTATGGAAAAATCAGAAAAAATCAAGCCATAAAACAGAAATATCGGTGTGCTCTTTAATTCGCCTTACCTGGTTCTTGTAGATGACGAGCATGTGCAGCACCGTGTTGCCGTTGGTGTCCTGACTGTCGGGGTTGGCGCCCCTGGCCAGGATGAGGCGGTAGCACTCCTCCTGGCCCAGGCAGGCCGCGAAGCTGATGGGGTACTCGCCCCAGTACACGTAGCCCTCGTAGTTGGTCAGCGGGGTCACGTTGACCCACTCGTGGTCCAGCGAGTCGTTTCGCGACGCCTTCTGGTCCTCGGGGCTCATGAAGTTGCCGAAGCACCGCTCGTTGACGTCTGCGCCCGCGTTGAGCAGGAACTTGACCATGGCGGGGTCCTCGTTGACGATGGCGATGTGCAGGAGCCCCTCCCCGTAGTACTCGTCGTTCATGTAGATGTCGTTGACCAGCTTGGGGTAGAAGCGCAGCAGGCGCTTGAGCAGGTCGTTGTGGAGCGAGGACGCGGCCAGGATGCACAGGTGCAGGATGGTCTCGCCCACGGCGCCGCGCTCCGCCAGGTCCCAGCACACGTCCCGGTAGCCGCCCGGGTCTGCGCGGCCGAGAGAAGGGAGTCAGACGAATCCAGTAAACACGGCTTTATTGATACGCATTGCCCCGCCCGATGGATACTTCACTCAAAAAGAAAAGGGTATACACCGCCCAATAGTCAGAAGAAAAAAAAAACAAAACAAAAAAAAGGAAAAAAGTACCCGTGGTCCTGGCTCAGCTGCGGCTCCAGCCAAGTGCGTCTCTACCGCCAGGCTAGCGCCACCCCAACAGTATAGTGCAGACAACCCTACAGACTCACCTTTGCCGTCGTCCCCCTGCGCGTCGAGCTGGGCCAGGGCAGTGTTGATGTTGTACTCGCTGGGGTCGCTCATGTTCTTGAGTGGAGGCAGCTGCAAATGAGCAAACAACACACTCACGCGTGGCGGTTCTGGTCCGTGTTCCCCCATCCCCTCATATCTCTCTCTCTCACTCACTCACCATCTTGTGTCGGCCGCGGTCCTTGTTCCTCAGCAGCACCAGGATGGACACGGGGATGAGCCTGCCCTGGCCCTTGTTGTACAGGAACGGCTCCACCTTGGTCTTGATGGCGTGGTCCAGCTCTGCGTACTGCTTGTTCGCGCTTGCGCGCTTCATCATGTCCACCAGCAGCCCACCGCCTGCGCGCACCCAAACAAAAGTTTTCGCGTCAAATGTGAAGTCACGATGTAGCGGTTCCTGATACCGGATTTGGACCGAGCGTAACTTGCTAATGGCAATTTGGCTACCTTGCATAAACTAGCCACATTCGGCCAAAATTCGAGATCGGTAACCATACTCAAGTCGTGCTCCAACTTACTATTCGGGGCGACACCCTAATAACCGTCTAAATCACGTTGAAACGACATCGCAATGATGTCGATTTCAACTTTTTGACGAAGTTCCAATAAAGCATTCCGATAAAGCATTTAAACTTTACCGGAATGCTTGATATCCTGTCACCCTCTCACCCTTCACGTCGACCAGCTTGTAGAGCGGCTGCACGGAGGGCCCCGCCTGGTTCTTGACGCCGCTGGTGACGTTGCTCTCCGCATTTCCCATGACGGCTGCCTCCTATTGTCCTGGACGTGACGCTCGGTGCCTTTGTCCTCCTCCCTGCGTCACTCGGCCGTCACGCAGAGCTGCTGTGGCTCCCCGATGGCCGCGGGGGAGGAGGTTCGTGGAAGCGGAGCAGGGCCTCTCCAGGCCTCACCAAGCCGGTCACCAGGTAGGTGGAGGCCCGGGATGCTGTCTGGACGGCGGTTCGACTGCGGGTGTCGCCCAGCTGAACGCCGTGTTCAAGTGCAATCCTGGCGCCCTCATTCTCGGCCGGGTCGTCTCCGAGCGCGCCGTGAACTGGGCCTCGCGAGACAAACAACCCCTGGTGGGCGGGCAGCCCGCTCCGACTACCGCAACGGAGGGTGGCGTCGGCCCACGCCGCGCCCCGCTCTCTCTCTCTCTCGCTCTCACGTTGTCCGTCTCTCTCGCCCTCCCTCTCGCCACAGCTGCGCGACGGGGACGGAGGGCTTCTCTCGCTTTTTCTCGAAGCCGCCACCGACGCGGGCGACCCCCGGATGCATCCCGCGGATGGCGCGTCGGTTGCTCGGCAGCGCGCCGCGACCCAGACATCGATCAAACGGCGCGATCCTGGCGGTGCAGAGGTGTGGCGAGGCGTGGCGTGGCGTGGCGTGGCGCGGCGCGGGGCCGCGGTAGGCGAGGGGCTGCGAGTGAGCCACCCGGAGGGGCGCTATGCAGGGGCAACAAGTGGCAATGGATGGGGCTTCCACTCTCTATGGAGCATGGAGCGGGTGGCGTGTGGCCGGCAGTGGCATGTTGGTGTGTGCTTTTCGTGCGCGAGTTTCCAATCCACCTCAATAGGCCGTGTCCATGGGGAAGTTTCTACTCAAAGGTGACCTTTGTTTCTCTGGTATACAGTTGTAACATTACTATCTTTTCTGTCGTCTCTTGATTATTTTCGTTTCGAGTCGTTTTGTCTCCCTTGTTGCTTTTGCCCGAGGGGCGATATTTATTTATCGATTGCTTGTATTTGTATGGGGTAGAATTAGGAAGATGTTTTTCTT